AAGCACTTTGGAAATTATAAACTGTTCTGCAGATTTAAGTATCAAAATAATTGTATTACAACTTTAAGGAAATGGGGCTGTAAAGGAAGCTGTTTTCTGTGGTTACGTGTTACGTTATGAATTCTTCAGCATTTACTCAGAAAAAGTCGTCTTAATCAAACACATATCATTGTCTTTTTGTACAAAGCCCCCTAACAAAGTGCAGCCTGGAGCACAAACGTGAATAAAATACCCACAATCCCACCCTTAAACAGATCGCCCTCCGAGGTGAACTTGTGTGCTATTTATTGATTTTTTTTTTTTTTTCAGGGCAGTTACGACTTGATTCAAAGGCTTTATAGGAAAAAAAAAAATCCTTTTCAGTTTTTGAGAAAAGTGAAGAGTTCTTTCAGATAGAACAATATTAATCCACAAAGTAAATACTAATAGCAGTTAAGAGCCTGCATGTGTGCTGTACTGTGTTAGGTCGTGTTGCCTTCATTATTACTACTGTCTCAGTGTTTCAAACAAGCAGCAATGGAAAAGCCCCAGAAGTGTCTTTATGTACATCTACATTTTATACTGAATGGAAAAATTATGGGACATTTTGATGGGTTTGGTACTGACCTGCAGGTATCAATGATACATATGTATCAGACAAAGAATGTTTTTCTGTGCTTCTGCTGCTCATACCCAAAGAAAGAAAGAAAACAGAACAGAAGGTGTTAAAATGATCAAAGGCAAAGAAAGATTTTGAGGTTAGACCAAAACTATGTGTTTATTCAATGTGAAAGATAAAGGGAAAAATGGAAGAAAAGCTGTAATTTTCCTACCTAATTTCAGAAACTTAAAATTTGGGGCACTTTTCAGAAACTGAAAAAGGTAGCTCGAGTACCGGTATGGAAAGGCTTCCTCTCATTATTGAAAACCCACAAGGTTAACCACATTTCAGCAGAAGATAAGACTATAAATCAGTTCAGAAGTGGTGACAAGATCCAAGGAGGATAAATTGACCCGTTGAGCTGACGGGTCTTGCCTCCTGGAGACCTCGGCTAACAGATGCCTTGTGCTTTCCAGCAAACCATTCACTAGGTCCATCCGAGCAGATGAGCCCCCGGGTGGAGGTGTCAAATTCCTGCTCAACCACCTCCTCTCTAAGCTTGCATCAGCTCCTCACAGGGCAGCCTATTTCTGTGATAGTTTGTTTTTTTTCCCCTTGTATATCATTTACTTCAGGGTATAGGATGCCTGAGAGCCCCTTTCTCAAGGCCAGGGATCATCCCTGTTTTCTCAGAAGCCCCTGCCTAGCACCTGGCGAAAAGCAGGAATGTTCAATAAAGATTTCAGTTACTGTGTGACCCGACAAGGATCGGGTTCTTGTCTAACCTCCATACCCATGCATAAACCACAGGCAGCTTCTTGTCGCTGGTTCTCCTGCATGTTTCCATGCAGTAGGTCAGGCAGAGCATAGACTTCAGAGCCAGACACGCTAGGGCTGAGTCTCGGTTCTACCATTTCTAGCTGTGACCTTCCCTGACTTCTCTGAACCTCAGTTCCCTATCTAGGAAGGTCAGGTAACTTATCTACCTTACTGCGTTGTCCTGAGGATGTGCCTGGCATGTAATAAACACTTGAGAACTGGGAGCCCCTGTTATGATGATGATGATGATGATGATGTTTCCTTAGAACTTAATTCAGGGCATGCTTTGTGGATGTTTTAAAATGAATCAAATATAGACATGCCTTAAGGACATCACAGCACAGAAGAGTGACCTAGCATACCTGCAGGGTCACCCATGGAGTAGGCACGCTGGTGGGACAGGAATTGCGTGGAGCTCTGGGGGTTCACAGATGAGCAAGTGGTACAGCCAGAACTGCTTCCAGGTGGTTAGACTTGCCATCTCAGTATCCAGTAGATACAAGGTGGTTTTATTTTCATCTTATAGTATTAATAAACTGCCACCTAGATGATGTATCTAGGTAAGCGATACTGGTAGAGACCGTAAAAACTAGGTAAGATTCCACTAAGGTAACTGAATGAAAATGATAATTGGGTTTCTGTAGTATCTGTTGAATTTCTTTAATGTACAAAAGACATTTCATTGGTATTTCTGTCATTGCAGTTTTGTCAAGTCCAAAAGTTTAGAACTGGCTTTAGTGACCCTATAAACCTGGTATCATTTAACCCTGCTATTGATATGCTGGGGCCAGTGTTCCATGGGACAATTGGAACTAATTTCTTCACATCATCTCTTATTTTACAAGGCTTTCAGTAAGGGATGATGAGAGAGCTGGCTTTGAACTAATTTCCGGAGGGTTGTTTTGTTTTGTTTTTTTCCCTGCTCAGAACAAAGTGAAAGTCACAAGAAGAACAGGTAGAAGGAAGTGGATTTGGTTAATACATTTTCAGGAACAGAAAGGGAAATGAGGACTGATTTGTCCTTTGTACCTTTGTTTATCCTACTTGATAGCCACTTAATGTTTTCAGTGAAAGAATATCAAGAGCCTGGTAGACATAATTACTCAAAATTTGAAAGTACCCACAGTCCCTTCAATAGATAAATGGTCAGACTTTGGTACTACCCAACAATAAAAAGGATTAGGCCATTGACACAACAACCTGGATGTATCTCCAGAGGTCATCCTGGGTCAAAAAAGCCAATCACAAAAGATCACATACTGTATGGTTTTATTTATATAGCATCCTTGAAATGACAAAATTCTAGAAATGGAGAACAGATTAGTAGTAGCCAAGGGTTAAGAGAGGATAGGATAGGAGGAAATGAGGATGGCTATAGAAGGGCCAAGTGAAAGATCCTTCATTTGGATGGAAATAATTCTGTAGCTTGCCTGTGCCAATGTCAGTATCCCAGCTGTGATGTCGTGTGAGTTTCACAAGATGTTACCGTGGAGGGGAACTGGGTAAAGGTTCCATGAGATCTCTGTATCATTTCTTACAACTGCATGTGAATCCGCAATTATCTCAAAAAGTCAAATTTGTTTTTAAAAAAAATTAGCCACAGTAACTTCCACGTGGATAACCACTTGATTTGTGGCTTACACCCTGAATCGTTCGCATAATAAAAGCATACTACAAAAAGCAGTTGCTTATATAGCAACTTTTTTCCTACTGTAGAAAACTTGGAACATATGGACAAGAACAGAATGAACTATAAATAGGAAAGTAAAAAATCACTGCTGTTATGCTTTTGGTGTATTTCATTCTGTTTTTTCCTGAGTTTGTGTATTTTTTTTTCAGTCATAATTGGGAATATACAGTTTATGTGGTTTAGCATTCTTCTTTCTTAAATTTTATATCATACGGATTTCTCTAGGTCTTCAAAATTTTTCAAAAGTAATTTCCATTTGGTTATATATTCCATTATATGGATGTTCTGTATTTAATCATTCTCTAAGTATTTGATATTTTCTCCCATTTTATATGATAAATATCCTCATACGTAAATCTTGGTTGCGTTTCCTATTTTTTCCTTAAGGTAGGTTTTGTAAATGAAATTACTGAATCAAAGTACATGTGCATTTTTAAGGCTCTTTTTCATACATGTTACCAGATTGCATTCTGGGAAAGTGATACTAATTTACATTCTCACCAATAAGTGCATGTGATTGGATGAGGTCCAAGACCAGAAGCAATTAGAAACAGCATAGAGTTCCAGAACAGAAAGATCCAAGATTTTTCCTTATCTAAAGCCGAACTTCTGAACCTCAGCACTGTTGACATTCTGGGCTGCATAATTCTTTCTTGTGAAAGGCTGTTGTGAGCATTGTAGAATGTTTAATAGAATCCCAGGCCTTATGCACTAAACAGATAGTAGCACAAACCATCCCCCCACCACCACCACAGTTGTGATAACAGAAATGTCTGCAGACTGTCAGATGTCCCCCCTGGGGGGCAAAATCACCACTGGTTGAAAACTGTTGATCCAAGACTTACACATGCAATGAGGCACTTACTGTTAGAATTTCTCAAACACTAATGTTCCAACGCCTAGCCTCTTAGGGTTCTTTCTCTGGAGTATGTATGTGCACGTTGTCTGCAGAGTCAAATAGGCTTAGCATTTCTTTAAGGCTGTGTAAGTGACTTTGTTGCTCCCCAGTATGTAGCTTTCCTTACTAATACCTCTCTGGATTCCTGGTTGTAAGAAGAAATTTAAAGAAAGTGATCCCACTACCATTTCTTTGCCCTGCAAGAATGAGTGGCCGTAATATTTAATATGGTATTTGGAAGTGTCAGTCAGTATGCTCAGCCTTTGTCTTTGTCTTTTGAATGAAAAGGGCCCAACAGATTGAGAACAACTTGATTACCTTGACTTCGTAAAGGAAGGAGAAAGAATGCTAACTTAAGTTTGAGCCTTAAAAATCCTAAGAAGCTGGGGCACCTAGGTGGTTCATTCAGTTAAGCGTCTGACTTGATCTCAGCTTGGGTCTTAATCTCGGGGTCTTGAGTTCAAGCCCCACATTGGGCTCCACACTAGGCATGGAGCCTACTTTAAGGGGGGAAAAAAAATCCTAAGAAGCTTATTTTACTCCGCAGGAGCACCCATCCTTCAAAGGTTTTTCCCTCAGAGCTACAGGTGGCTTTACCTTCAGTTCTTGATAGGGTATACTGGTACAGAAGGCTCACCTGTGTGATTTCTATAATATTTCAAAACATCGTGGGGTAAAAGAAATGACACACTCTTCCCAATATATATCTTGCTGCACCCAGATCTTTCAGTAGCTCAGTTATAGTTGACACATTTTGTTAATTCAAGTAAGACCAGCTTCAGTGTACTTTCAAAAATGAGAAGCACACAAATACATTGTCACAAACAGAAACTCACTGAAAATACTCTATCCTTAAGCAATATGAAGTTCATTTAAGTCTATCCAGTGAAGTCATGAACCTTTGAAGTTATGTTTGTTGGTCCATTGTGCTGAAATGTAAGATTGAGGTTACAAAGGTTAGTTTGACATTGACTTTCTGTTCTGGCTCTTTCTTTCCTGTTTGTTCCCCTTAGGAGCAGTCTCACAGGTGCTGGACAGCCTGGAAGAAATTCACGCACTTACAGACTGCAGTGAAAAGGACTTAGATTTTCTACACAGTGTTTTCCAGGATCAGCATCTCCACACACTACTAGATGTAAGTCTGTCTGGGTTTTTTTTTTTTACTTATTTATTTTTACTGAATTGAATATTTAGTGTGCCTTTTTTAATTTACATGAATTTCTAGACATCCATCATAACAGCCCATTTTCAGTCTTAAGTCTGTGAGAAATGTGGGAAATCATCCACTTTAGATTCATAACTAAAATAAAATATATAGTACAAAAGCAATATAGCCTAGCAAGTCACTGTAAAAAGAATTATGTGTGTGTATATGTATATATGTGTGTTTCTCTTAGAAGAATCCCTCTACTCTAGAAAAACACTCCTCAACAGGTACAAAGATGCAGGGATGTGAACATTAATCATAGACTGGGGGTAAGAGTGAACAGAGGACAGCAGGGAAATAAACCATGGCCTGTGCACCCCTAATAAGGAATATTGGGCAGCAGGTGAAAAGAATGAGATGGGGGGGTGCCTGGTTGGCTCAGTTGGTTAAGCATCTGCTTTTGGCCCAGGTCGTGATCTCAGGGAAATGAGGAAGGTTGGTAAAAGGGGACAAGCTTCCACTTATATGATGAGTAAGGTCTGACACTCTAATATACAACATGGTGACTGACTATAGTCGATAATGCTGTATGATATGATGAAATCTGGTAAGAGAGTAGGATTTAAGTGTTCTCACGGGGTGCCTGACTGGCTCAGTCGGTTGGACGTCCGACTCTTGATTTCGGCTCAGGTTATGATCTCAGGGTCATGAGATCAAGCCCCTTGTCGGGCTCTGCACTGGGTTTGGAGCTTGCTTAAGATTCTCTCTCCCTCCCTCTCTCTCTCTGCCCTTCCCCACCTATCTACACGCAGGATCTCCTTTAAAAAAAAAAAAAAAAGAACTTAAGTGTTCCTACCCCCCCAAAAAAAGGTTAAATATGTGAGGTGAAGAATGTGTAATTAAGTTGATTATGGAATCCTTTCACAGTGTACACATTTATCAAATCCTCACGTTGTACAATTTACGTATATTACGATTATGTATGTCAGTTGCCCTTCAATAAAGTTAAATGCACTCAGCAGGATAAAGAAATGCGCCTTCTCTTTAGTATAATTTAAGTAAATTTGAGGGCATTTTCAGATAAGTTCAACTTCAAGTAACTGTTATTTTCCTCAGGTACCAGAAAGCCTTTGAAATGCATTCCATTTGGTGGAGAGCTCTTAACATTTCTTCCTCTTCTTAATTCATTGGCTTCATTATCATTGTCTATCCTTGCTTCACAGGATGCAGAGGGTTTTTGCAAATGGGAATTTCCCACACAAGTCCTGCCCTTTAGTGAAACTAGCGAGTGAGCTCTTCGAAGGAAGCTGTAGCGGAGCATGGAGATTTGGTTTATTTCAGTGGTTAGGGCATTGCTAAGATCTACTAACCTTTTAGATCAAGGACCTTTTGCCTTTGAAAGGCTCAGAGAAATCCAAACAAGTTTTCAAGGTTATGTTTTTCTGACTAGTGGAACAAGGTATATGAGTCCACCCAGCTTGAGACTGCAGGGGAAATGGAAGAATATTGCTAGCTTCTACAAGGAGGGCCAGAGAACTCAGACACAGACTGGACTTTGGAACTGAGCCAAGCCACGCTTATTGCCCAATGCTAAGCCTTTCAGACCTCACTGAAAACATGTGCTTGGACTAACTGCAGTGTTCTTGGGTCGACATTGGCACAACTTCAGAAGAGACTCCTAGGTGTTAGGAAAAACATGCTTAAAGTTCATTTGGATTCTTGCGAATTATAAACTTAAGAACGTGTCTATAGTGTCAGGATCTGCCCTCTCAGTGCATCTCAATTGGAAAAGGAGTGTGTGGACTGAGAAGGCGCTGTACCCAAGAAAAAGACGCCATGTCTGCAGAACTTTGCAGACAAATGCTACACGTGAACCCCAGAACCCCCCACCCCCTGAAATGACACGACCGTAAGGCCGTCCCTGGGCAGTGCTGGGTTCTGAAGATCCAAACTGACCCATCCTTCAACGAAAAGCTATCATCATGAATGATCTAAGCCATCACTGGAATGTGCTCTCATGATCTAGAGTCCATGAATATAGTTCGTTAAGCTCTTGTCTCAGAACGAACAGACTACATTTCACTAGTACAATCAGTGAGGTATTCAAGTAGCTGCCATATAGAGAAATGTAATGATTAAAACAATTTTTTCATACTTGAAGTGCTTAAGTAAGAAGGCGCATAGTATGACCAACTCTTGAGAAAAAGCTTTTCAAACTTTGACCATTCATTTCTCTTCCTTCTAATGTTCCATAGCCCATGCTTGGATTGGAATCATTTTGTTTTACAGAATCAACACTGGTTCCTTTTTAGGTTTTGGGGGGTTTCTTTTTAAAGATTTTATTTATTTATTTATTTATTTGGCAGAGAGAGACCGCGAGAGAGGGAACATAGCAGGGGGAATGGGAGAGGGAGAAACTGGCTTCCCACTGAGCAGGGAGCCCGATGCGGGGCTCGATCCCAGGACCCTAGGACCATGACCTGAGTGGAAGGCAGATGCTTAACAACTGAGCCACCCAGGCTCCCCAACACTGGTTCCTTTTTGAAGGATCCCAAGTAGTGACACCTAGTAGCATAGTTTTGTGGACCATGGATTGATTGTCACTTAATCCCACGGAGCCATTTTGTGAACTATCTTTATTACATTTAAATAATTCCTGTTCTTTCAGCAACACTCTAAATAACTAAGTTTGATGTCCTCAGTTTTAAGCTGTCAAAAAGAAACAGGATTAAGTTCCTATAGGAGACGACAGATCATTTAGTACTTTATTTTTTCTAGTCATGCCTTCAAAATAATAAGCTTGAAAATGCGAAGAAATATTATTAAAATTTGAAGGAAACAAAACATCTGTTGTGTTGAGAGAATTTACATTAAAACACAAGGAGAAATATTGTGGTTGTACTGAGAGGGGAAATGCTTTCTGATCTGAATTCTAGTAAAACACACCTGGTTTAATCTGTAGTGAGAGATTAGAAAAAAAAGGAAACCAATCCAGAAATTTCTAAATGTTTGCTCCCCAGCCAGTTCTACCTGGCATATATATGCCGCTCCTCATTTTGGGGAGAGAGGTAGAGGCTTAACGAAGAACTGTGTTTGGTCTAACTTGGTCCATATGTCTGCTTTCACAAATTATAAGCCCTGTGCAGAGATGGTCTGTGCATAAAATATACAGATCAGTTTTACTAGGAAAAGGCAGTTTGGCCTGTGTATGAGTTTGCTGAGGCTGCCACAACAAAGGGTCACAAACTGGGTGGCTTTAAATAACAGGATCTATTCTCTCACAGTCTGGGAGGCCGGAAGTCCTAAATCAAGGTGTCAGCAGGGCTGTGCTCCCTCCGAAGGCTGCAAGGAAGCCTCCTTCCTTGCCTCTTCCAGCTTCTTGTTGCCTGTGATCCCTGGCGGTTCCTTGGCTTATAGATGCGTCCGTCCAGTCTCAGCCCCCAACTTCCCGTGGGGTTTCTCTCTGGATGGGCGTGACTCTGTGCCTTCATGCAGCCTTCTTATAAAGACACACCAGTCATTGAATTTAGGGCCTACCCTAATCCAGTATGACCACATCTTTTTTTTTTTAATTTTATTTTTAAATTTTTATTTTAAATAATATTTTAATTTAAATAAAATAAAATAAAAAATTTTAATTTAATTTAATTATTTAATTATTTTAATATAATAAATAATTATTAATAAATAAGTATTGATTATTAATTATAATTATTAAATTGTTTAATTTAAATAAAATAAAATTAAAATTTTAATTTAAATAATATTTTAAAGTCTTAAAAGATTTTATTTATTTGACAGAGCAAGAGAGATCACAAGTAAGCAGAGAGGCAGGCAGAGAGAGAGGGGGAAGCAGGTACCCTGCTGAGCAGAGAGCCCGATGCAGGCTCAATCCCAGGACCCTGAGATCATGACCTGAGCCGAAGGCAGGGGCTTAACCCACTGAGCCACCCAGGCGCCCCCCAGTATGACCACATCTTAATTGCATCTTCAAAGACCCGGTTTCCAAATAAGGTCACCTGAGGCTCCAGGCAGACATGAATTTTGAGGGGAGAGTATTCAGCCCACTACCACGTGGAAAACTGATTTTGCCCTGAATTGATTCTTCAGGTGTGAGTGTAACTTACACAAATTTAACCTTACCTGGTCACTCGTTAAGTGAACTTTGTTGGGAATTGGTGTTAAGGTGTACTTGGGTCTTTGAATGGTAGTCTGAGTTCGTTTTGGGTTGCAACTTGTGTGTGATACATTGGGTTGTCAGATGACAGATGCATTTTTAGACTGAAAAATCAAGGCTTTTTCAGTTAAAAAGCATTTTGCGAATGTTATTTGGTGGTGATCCTTGATCTTCTCAATATCTTGTGGAAATTTTCCTGTTGCAGAATAAATGTTTACTTTGTAAGTCAACAATGTTATAAAACATTGTTAAATGACACATTTCTCTCTCTCTCTCTGCCAAACTTTGACAACTAGTTTTAAACATTCACCCACCATCTGTCATACCTCTGAACAGCTGTTAGCATTCATTACAGACTGCTGTTTCCACAGTAAATGTGAAGCCCCACCTAATTAAATTATTTTTGTTGGACGTCCTAAAATTATGTTTAATTTGTGATTAGATTAATAGAGCAGAAGCTCACTGCAGTAGCAACTTAACACTTTATATTGATTTATATGTAGATTTTTATTATAGATTAACTGATATTTTAAAGTACTGCATTAGAAATAAATCAGTGTCTGGAATCCTCCATATTTTGTATTACCAACATCTTTATTGCAGTTTTTTACTGTTTAGGGAGAGTTAGAGAGTTTTTTTTTAATCCAGCACTGGGAAACTACAACTCTTGATTTACTCTTTTGCTTTTTTGAGATGATATTAAATTAGTAGTCCTATTTGGCAACATCTTATTTTTAGAACTCAAAGGTTTCCTAAAGTGGGAAAAACTGGAACTTCTGCAATGATTTGATTTTTCCAGCAATTTGGGGTT